TTCTCCCATCCAACTTGAGAATCCAGACTTTGGGGACCTATTCAGCGAGGCGGGAGAATACGTGTTTCCAAAGGCCTAGGATTGCGGAATAATTTGGCAGACTCAGATCTACATTACCAGCAGAAGGGTGGGGGAATTGGGTGTGACAAAGGCAGTGTGGGACGTAAAGAGGTTTCACGAAATCCGCTCAAAAGGGAACACCATTTGAAAAAGCAATTAAGAAATTGTGATAGTGAAAGGGTGATACGAGGATATAGGATAGGTGAATAGCCCAGGACAGAAGGAAATATACCAAAATTCTTTTGCAGACAATTGGTTAAAGGAACAGTTTTCCCTGTCTCTTTGACGAGTTGGCCAATATGAACAAGTTGCGAAAACAAGGTCAAACAATTGCCATATCTTTTCGTTTTTACTTATTGGTATATCTTCTTGATTTAGTGTTGACGTGAGACTTTTGCAAGAATGAGTTCCACCTCCGGTGATGTCCTTCATATGACGGCTGAAAACTGAGTCCGGCTTCACACAAAACAGCTGCATGGCAGCGGGAATCAGTTGGTAGCTTGCGATGAGATCAACGAATGAATCTCTTGTATGAAGTCCAAGATGGTGTCACCTTTTGTGTGGTCGCAGTCTCCTTTCGTTGTATAGACGTTGGTTGACCTTGTTTTCGCAACTTGGTCATATTGGTAGGAAGACTTAGAGGAACGCACCTCATCGGGAGTCCATTGTATGCATGATCATTTCTGAGGTAGTGTGATGTGCTCCTTTGAGCGACATTCATGAAAACCTTTCACACTCCACACTGTCGTTCTCACCCATTTCACCCTCGTTCTGGAAATGTTGATCATAGTCTGCCATATTGTTACGTCGTCCTCCTTCCCTTGGTCTTATCACAGTCTCTCTCTTGGGCAGTAAAATCCATCTGCTCTCTCTCTCTGGTTCACGTAGTTCACTCAACCCCTACCACCCCATCTGTGCTACTCGAGGCGTTATTCGGCATACCCTGAGTCTGGGTGACTAATTGGAGGCTCAGGCCTCTGAGTAAGTTACATCGTCAAACCTTCGCTACATGTACCACGTCTATGGTAAAAACAAACCTATTGTCAGCCAACTAGCTCCAGTCTCCGCCGCGTCTATCTTGTCTCTATCTCTAATATCAAGTCTATGACTTCCTATGCCTTAGTCTCTTGTGTGCCAACCCAAAACCGTTGTGGTTCAACATTGAACCTACCACGAAATTTGTATAGGAAGTCATAGACTTGGTATTAGAGATATATATGCGAAGAAAAGTTGGGTTTCGAGGAAGTACTTGTTTCATAATTTTTGAGCTTACTTACATTTCGAGTGAAAGTGTTGGGTGAAGAGACTCGAGGGTTGGTTCTACCAGAAGAAGACGGAGGATTCCTCTTGACCAGTTGTCAATTGGCTTTACTGGAGCATTCATGCTGACGCTGTTTCCGAGGCAATCGCCTTCGATTCCGGTGAAAAGCTGCTAAGCTTTAGTCCGTCATATGATGAACATCTTCAGAGCAAGGTATCATCTTCACAACAAAATTCAAGCTAACGAGTCAAGGTAGTGAAACCGACCTTCGAATCTTTTCACCCAACACTTTCACTCGAAATGGAAGTAAGCTCAACAATTAGAGATACAGACAGGATAGACGCGGCGAAGACTGGAGCTAGTTGGCTGACAGTAGGCCTGTTTTACCATAGACGTGGTTCATGTAGCAAAGGCTTGACAATAAAACTTATTTAGAGGCTTGAGCCTCGAATTAGTCACCGAAACGCAGGGGAGGGCGAATCACACCTCGAGTGGCACAAATGGGGTGGCAGGGGTCGAGTGAACTACGTGAACCAGGGAGAGAACAGACGGATTTTACGGGCAAGAGAGAGACTGCGATAAGACATAGGGAAGGAGGACTGCGTAACAATATGGCAGAATCTGATCAACATTCCCAGAACATGGATGATGGGGCTTGAGAACGACAGCGTGGAGTATGGAGGATTCTCATAAAAGCTGGTCAAAAGAGCACACCACACTACATCGAAATAAGCACGGTAAACATTGTAACAGTGAAGGTGTGATAGGAGGATATAGGAAATGTGAATACCTCAGGGCAGAAGAGGAGATACCACAACTGTTTAGCACACGTTTGGTCAAGGTATCGGCTTCACTTGTCTCTTTGACGAGTTGTTTTGTGGTGCTAAGGCTGACGAGACTGACGAGACTCACTGACGATGCCGGCGAAACGTCTGGCAATGTACCACGTCCACGACTCCGGACTAGGTGCCTTCCTCTAAGTCTTCCTACCAATATGACCAAGTTGCGAAAACAAGGTCAAACAGCCCCTAATGAATCTCTTCATCGCGCACTTTTATACGAAATGAACCTCTCCACAACAAGCTTTCGTCCATCATCTGACAGACATCGACGAGTGAGAAGGAAAAAAGCATCAAATCCAATAAGCTAAACACAATCCTTATTCGGTTTTGGTGGGACCATCTCACGAATTGCCAACTTCTCATTCGAGCTGAAAACTATTGTCACAATAGATCAGCAAATAAATGAGAATTCCACCAGTCAACAAAACAATGTAGGGATTGATATAAGTCGTTTAACCTCGTTTTCACAAACTGGTTTATCGTTAGAGCTGCCTTGGTAAACGCATCTTGTCTAAAATCCTGTCATAGTATCCATGACAGTTTCCAGGGTTAGACCGTGGAATTTGTAGACTTACTGATTTTTCGTCTGTTATCGTCATTGAGTCTTGCTGGTCTTAGCGCAATGCTACAACTTGTCAACTAGATTTGGGAATGTACCGAGTGCATGGCCGGACGCAGGAAATTACTAAGGATACGATGACAGAGAAATCTGGACAAGATGCACTTATGTATACCTCTATGAATATACGAACAAGTTGCGAAAATGAGGCAAAATCACTTGTTTACTACGCAAGGAGACTGCGAAAAGAGTACAGGCCATACCATCTTGGTATTCACACCCTTGAGTAAAATAACAATCACAATAATGACTCTACAGCATACGATACATTTGTAGCCAGGGCTTTTTTGTCGTTAATCTGTAATTAATTTGTAGCCAATCGCCCCAAAAGACCATTCACACCCTTTCGGACTTGAATGTAGCCTCAACTCCGCCCAATCATCACCTCAGAGAGGATTCAAGGCGTGGATGTGCCCAGACTTTCTCCGTCTTAAAAGTCATTTTGATGTGGTGACGCGATATGACTAGGGTCGTGTTGCTGAGACGACAACGTGACTAAACTCAACGCCCCGAGCCCCCTCGTCACACACGTACGACTCGCATTCTGCTGAGGCCTACCGACGAGTCGAGAGGGCAAGGTTCACACTGATCGTCGTTGTGACGGTTAACATGTCTTCTCGAGGCCTGGCACAGTGAGGCCGAATGGGGCCTGGATCCGGCCCCACTATCACCATTCCAGCCTTGGCAACAGCATACGACAATCCCATCGCTAAGATGACGTTTTGACTAGTCTTCGCAACATGGTCCTGTCGCAGGGCGACATAACTGAACGTACATTCGTAAGTAAGTAGGGTTTCGAGACTACCAGTAAATCAGTGTAATGAGATGTATTCACCCTATTTCG